TTAGCAAACCTTTCCTGTGAGTAAACGCACTAATCAATACCCTAGTCAGGTCTGCATTGGATTTGGCCAAGAGGAGTTGCTGTCAAGCCTTCCTTTTAAAGCTGCTCAGCTCCGCATGAAGCACTTCACACCAATTGGGTGAGAAGGAGTGTGAAAGTAAGTAGGCATGGCACACTGTCCAGGGGCCAGGTCATTCCCCCATCTTGACAACGGCATTTTCAGGTTGTTCCATTAGCAGTTGTACCCATGAAGACTATTTCCTGCAGAGGGCCTGTGCTACTGCAGTGACCCCATCTCCTCTCTCTTATCCTCTACCACCACTTCCCAGTACATCCAATTCCTCTGCCGCCCCTTCGACCCCAGCTCGCTCTATACTCCCTGGTGGAGGCTGCTCAGCCGGTGGAGCCCTCCCCACGTGCACAGCAGCTCAGCTCACAGCACAGGCTTTTCCAGTTTAGGTCTTGCTGCACTATCCAGCTACTGATTTTTTTTGCATATGAAACAGCTTTGATATCTGTCAGATTTGTTCTAAATTTGTCACTTGGCTTAAACATTTGTAGAGCAAATGCCTGAATTCTTTGGAGAGGCTGGCGTATGCCTTCTGTCCTTAGGTCAGCAGGCTGAAGTCGGTGACTATGAGGTAGGTGCGTGACCAGGACTGCATGGCAGAGTGGTGGCTGCTGTGTGGTGGTAAGAAGAGGGAGCGGTTGCTCCCTGTGCTGGTCCCCCCAGCCTGAGCGGTTGCTCCCTGCACTGCCCCCCCCGAACCTGCTCTGGCCAGGCAGCGAGCGCTGGACGTGCCTCTGCTGGCTCCTCTCGCTGTGCTGGGGAGCAGCAAGGGGACAAGCGGCTCTGATGCTGCCCTCGCTCTGGCTGTCCTAGGTAGTTCTTCTAACCAAGGAAATTTAGTTTTACATTATTCTATTTTTATCCTTTTTTTTTTCCCTCCAAGAAAAGCTATCGTAACAGTCATCATTAATTCAGGATTAGCATATTATCAAAATGATACAGCAGCAACATCCACCTGCAAAACCAGTTGTGTACTGCTGGGCACTGCTATTAACATGCCTTACGGTAATTATGTGTGATAACTGGCACACTATATATATTTTGCTGATCTTTGCCTTATTAAAGCAAACTTCTAGAATTTGGCCTCTTTTTATTATCAGCTAAAAACCTTTTGAACATTTCTTTGTTAGTAATCCTGTGTTGTTGCTGCTGTTATTACGAACAGTAGTCAATGCTTATGAATTTTTGTTACATTTCATTTTAACCAGGACTGCAGAATAATTCTGTGGTTTCAGTTTGGCAGCTGACAAAAAATAATTACACTAAATATGCCAGTTCTGGTGCCTAGGACCCTTATCTTGAGTTACTGTGGGAAACAGACACCTCCTCTGCTTTATGAGCCAAGTGAAAACTGTTTTTCAGTCAAAATTGTTTTGTACATTTAACTAAAATTAGCTGATGTTTTAGATTGACCAGCACCACAATTTCTAGCATTTTAGCTGTACATTGCTCTCTCCTTTACTTCAAGTAACTGTAGTCTCAATGATCTCATGGTGGTATCATTTCTCATTTAATGTTTATAAAGAATAGCCCCGCCACATGGGGGCTATTACAGACCTTTTAGTGCTTATTCTTCAAATCCTAGTCTTTGGTGTGCTTACCATTCACATATAATTGTCTCATAAAATATACCTTTATATAACAATAAATATGTATAGTAACGTGCAGGGGAAGATTTACATGTAAGTTAAAAACATGCACATTCATTATCCGTGCTTTGTCATTGATGGGGGGAGGTTGGTTGTAGTCATGCAGGTATTATGGTACGGACGTGCAGTGTTCACAACTATGACATTATAAAATAGACAGCAATGTGCACAGACATAAAAGCAAAGATAATTCATGGGAGTATTGTGAGATGAAGCCATAATTAAACACAGATTTTGTCTTTTGAATTGTACATTGCAAAAAACACATACAGAAGTTTCATGGAATTATTATTTTAAAATTATCAGTTTAGTTGTTCCTGTTTGCTTTTGCTGTGCATTCATTTTAAAGCAAGTGTTTTAAATGACACCTTACCTTCCAAGACAGAAACATGGCTTAGCACCAGCTCTCTCCTCTGAGGACCTCCACTTTAATACTTCTGCAGTGGTATTTCTGTTGTGCTTCCTCATATAAAATGTTAGAGGACAGCAGTGGGTTACTTTGTTCATGTTTTTTTAAAGAATGGGTTTGATAATTTACTCTAATTTTAGACTTTGACTATTTTTGGCAAGAGTCAGTTGGGCTAAATCAATTGAACCTTGTACCAGCAGCTTCATTCAACAGTCTTCATGAGCACAAATTCTCTGCTGGACTTTCATTTTTTTCTAAAGACCCTCATGCATTTTACTCATTTGCAAATAAAAGTATGCACAGGTATGGAATATTTGTAACATTTAAAGATGCACCAAGCATTAGTTATTGTTAGAATAAAAAAAAAAACCCAACACGACAAAACCTTACACATTTCTCTTCCTCCCATTCATAGTGATCTTTACTCTTTCTTCTGCAGAAGTTCAGTGATTTCATAAAATTTGTTTGACATTGTGACAGAAATTCATGCCAAGAGCAAATATTTATCATATCAAAAATGTCTGAAAACATTTAACCTGCTTTAAAGTGAAACATGCTTTTTCTCTTAGTGAAATCAATCTTTTTGAAGTACAGATTTCAGCAAACTCATCAGTTTAACTGCAGTTCCCCAGCACTGGGGAATTGCCAGAGTGGCCTCATGCACATCACAGGTCATCAGATCGCATCTCTGTACTATTCACCAAGTCAACAGGAGGCCAGCCTTGGCACGGTGAGCGCGGGGCACGGGGGTGTCCTCGGGGAACCCAACTTTGCGTCCATAAACTGGATGATGTGTGACTGATACCAGTCTCAAGAAGCTGCTGACTAACTTCATTCATGAAAACCATGCACACGTTTCTATCGTGTGTCAGTTTATGCTCTGTCATACAGCTGACAAGGCCAAGGTTTAACCTGAGAACTCATTGTCCGTCAGGGAATGATCCGCTTTTAACAAGAGGAGGGAATGCACCGCAGAGCGCTACCGGGGAGACATGCCCTTCCCTTTCACCTGTGGCTTCCGGCTGAGCTGTGCTCCCCCCGGTCAAATGCAGAAAATGACGACATTCTTGCCAAGCTGATTCTCACCTAAAATCTGATGTTTTCATGACCAGCCACCTAGAAACAAGAGACAGCAGCCAGATCTTGAGGGCATTCTCTGCCCTGCACCAACTGCACCAACTCCACGGATTCATGGGAAGGTCACAACCACAACGGATGTTCACAAAGCCCGCTGATGCAGCCATCCACAAGGAAGAAATAGGCTTGTTCCTGATCACTGCAGGCAATCAGTCGAAGCCATGCTTGACTGTACTTGCAACATCTTTCTTACGTGCTGCTATATTTAGAGCTTATTTTGTAGCTTTATCTCCAGGTAGTTCAGATGACTTTGTTTTCTGCTTGCTAACCCCTTTATGGGCTTTTTAATAAATTTTATGGACAAAGATTGTATCGGCCCTTGATTGCTAATATGAAATGTTTGGTGTGGCCTCTGAGCAAAAGTTTTCTGGGCCAGTAATCTGAAAATTTTTAATTTGACTATATGGTTTTTTATGTCCTCCCTTATTAGAGGAACTTTTTGTTCTGCCAGCAGCTCAGTAGGACATAGATGTCTCCTCGTTTGATCCAAATACAGATATTTCTCCTTTCTCCATGTTATACTTCAGCACATTAGCAGGAGTATCACCTATACATAGGCTAGGTTTTTCTTGGTGCTTGGATGATTCTAAAATGCTGGCTTACATATCATTCTGTTGGTGAGTGGGAATTCACAGGTTTCTCTTTCAAACTTATTACCAGATCATTTTGAGTTGTATTTTGTAGTTTGCCATCTACCTTTTTGCCCTTTTTTGTCTGTTTTGTGTTTTCTTTTGTTAGATTTTGTTAGAACTGCCATTAACACTTTAACATCATTTCATAATTAATTATTGCAAAAATCATGTTAAGGAATTACTTTCACTGTGACTGACTCTGTAATAGTTATGACGTGAAAGTTCTGATGAGGCCCATGTTCCTCTGCTGTGGTGTAAGTTGTTCTTGCCTGTCCATCACCGGTGACAATCGGGAAATGAATTGGTCATTCGTTCTGGGTTGTGACAAAAAACTGTTTCATGGTGGGAATCAGTGTTCTCTGTATACCCTGCCATCAACTTTTTTTATGTATGATGTGTGTTCGTCTCAGGAAGGAACAAACTAATTCTAGTCACAAGTCAACTGATATTTTCATGTCTGCCCTATTCTGAAGTTATATCTGTTTCACAAATGTCTATGAAGTTGCCTACAAGTTGACTTGGAAGGTGAATTGGTTACTAAAAATCTCACAAGTTTTTCATAAATTCAGTTGTAAAATATTTTGAAGCTTAAAGTTATAACTCAATAAATATAACCACAGCTATTTGTGTATATTGAACATGATCCTGATGTGACTTCTTGATGTGGTTAAGATTTAGTACCACAGCATGTCCTTACTGTGTTAAACTTCAGGGAATGCTTGAGTAGTTGTTCAGCCGGGTTCTTATACCCAATGCGCAGTATTACAGAAAAGTTATCTGTGTAAATGGGAGTAGGACAGGGGCCATTTTTTAGCAATGTCTCATTTTATTGTAGTTTGAATAAAAATTAAGGTAATGCTTTCAAAGCTGCTTGGGACAAAAACCACATAACTGTAGAACTAATTAAAGACAATTTCGTATCTTAGCTTTATATCTTATCAACTTCATGTTTAATATTTTGTGTTTATGTTTTATACTGGCTAATTCACTTCCTATAGCATTAAATGTGGCATATTTACACAGAACGATTGAAATTATGTGGAAGAATATAAAAATATGTTTCAAAACCTAGCAAACCCTCATTTTCACAGTTGGGTAGATAATAGTTTATTTTCAGTACAATGGGAGATCACTTTTTTTGACAGAACTCCAAATTCATTACAGCTACACTGACAGTAATTTTTAAAAGGCCTTACTTCAGTTGCAATTATCATAACCGGATTTCAAACTTATTTTATGATCTATAGTCTCTTCAGTACAGCAAAGAACAGTAATACATTTCTCCTAAACAGTGTTCTAGCTCGTCCAGCTTAAGTGGAATCCTGATGGTAAAGTCACATATTCAGCATGAAATTTTATATAGACTTGATGAGATGTAGCAGTAAATGGAGCGATGTTTGTGTCCTAAAAATAAAGACAAGAAAAATGAAAAGCTTTATAGAACACCCAGATCCTTTGGAAAGGCCACTCAGAGAGTTAAAACCTAAGCACAAATTGGATCATAGCTTAGAAGGGACCTCAGGTCTGTGCTAGATACTGCTTTTGCATTTCTCCCTCAGGGATTACAAGTATTTAAACCACAAATACAACGAAATACAGAGCAAAATAGCTTGATGATGCCTCCCACTAGATGTCACTGTAAGGTCTGCATTGGAAGGCTTCTAAGGTGCCACACAAGCCACATGCCTTCACTTCCACTCCTCTGTAGGGAATTCATGCCAGATTTGGGGAAACAATCCTAAATACCAAACAGTAAAAGATACATTTTAACCACTTAGAGGGTCACAGACAGTAGGGAATACATACCATCCCACAGTACGGCCCGGCTGGGGGATAGCTGGCATCTGGCCCATTGTGAAGGATGAGATAGTTGCTGCTGCAATCCCCCGGGTCATCGATGCTGATGAAATCAAAGTTCACTGTGACAATTTGTCCCTTGGGCACAGTAATGGCCCACTCGCAGTCAGTGTTGTTGTGGTAAGTTGCAGGGTAGCTGGGACTAGCAAATGAGCCAGTGCTGCCGTATAATGTTCCTCCGCATCCTGGAAACAGACACTACTCATTAGCTTAGAAGGCTTAGTTTCACAAGATACTACAGCAGGTAGTACATTAGTGCAGTATTAGTAGTAGCACTGAAAAGCACGGAGAGATGCTGGGAGCTGGAACAATGACTGTGGGTAAGAGCATTCTTCCAATAAGAGAGAAAAGCGAGGCTCTAGTTTCACCAGCCTGAGAAGAATATGCAATGAGCATTAGACCATCACTGGATATTAAAAATCAAAACTCCCAAAACTCTTTGAAACAGGAACCAAAGTCTGAAGTCTGTGTCTTGGTCAGTTCAGTTTCCAACTACTCAACTAGAGACAAATTCTCTTTGGCTGTTATTTGCAATGAAAAGTAGTGAGTCCTCATCTCATAGAAAAATGCAGAGAACAGCTCAGAGAAAATAGTCATATTAAGGAAACTAAAGGCCATTTATACCAAAATTCAATCTCCAACAGCGGGCAGAAGCAGATGCCCTGGGAGAAATGCAAGTAGAGTAAGAGTAAGCATCTGCAGATCATGCCCCAGATTACTCTCACAGTCTTCAAGAATTTTCAGCTTACAGGTCTCAGAGATGGCATCTTTGTATTTATAGTCTTTATCAGATGTCTTCCATGAACTTGTTCAGGTAGCCCTCGAATCCATGTGAATTTGTAGCATACTATGGGAAGAAGCTCCACAGCTTAATTCTATACTGCATGAAGAACTGTTTGGTTTGGTTTGGTTTGAACCTACCACCTCCTGGCTTTATCTGAAGGCCTCTAGTTCTTCTATGGGAAAAGTCAATGAACAGTTGATCACTATTTACCATCCAATATCACTCAGTTTTATAGACCTCAGTAGTTTCTTAACCAGATTTAAAAGTCTCAGCATACCTCATACAGAAGTCATTTTTTATGTTGAGATCTTTTACCTGAAATTTTTCCAGTTATACTGGATTTTTTTATAAGAGGAGGAGACCAGAACTGTGCACATCATTCCATTTGTGTGTGAACTACGGATTTATACAGTGGCTGTCTATTCTCTCTTCCTTTCCCAACAATTCCTAGCATTGCACTAGCCTGCTTGACTATTAGTGAGCAGTGAGCTCTTGTTTTCGTGGAACTATTTTACCCCCAAAATCTTGTTGCTGAGTCCTAAAAGTCAACTCAAGAGCCCGTATTTTTGTAACTAAAGTTAGGATTGTCTTTTTGTTTTTTTGCCCATGTTCTTCATCAACACTTTCCTACATTGAACTTTATTTGCCTTTTCATCACCAAGCCACTCAATACTGTAAGGTTATTGTGCAGTGCTTTTCAGCTGGCCACAAGCTTTCCTACCTCCAGTAACTTGGTGTCGTGAACTATCACCCAGCTCTCACTGTCCATTTATGGACATTTATATTATCTCCATTCCTAAGCCATTTATGAATGTGTCTATTATACAATCACTACACAGCACTATAGTTAGTTAGGCTGTTTTCTTGGGGCAAATTTCAGTCCTCCTCAGGCTTAGCAGTGCCTAGATCCTCAAGCATATCATAACTAGACTATTAATGGAGTAGGCTGAGTCACCATCACCACCGCCAACCGCTCTGTGGATTCCAAGACAGACGTTCCTGATATTTTCTGACCTCTCAGTGAAAGAGGTAGATCTTCATCTTAAGTAAGTGGACTACATCCCCTGAGTTTGCTAAAATCCACATTAGAGAGAGGGAATTGCTTCCATCCACTAAAATGGATCTTGCCCCACTGGTCTTCAGGAGCAACTTCCTCCCTGCAGTGACTGAATAGGGTGGACTATGGGTGCTTGGGAAGGTCTTAAGTGCTGATGAGGCAGGGCCCAGACTGAGCAGGCTGAATTCCACATTTCTGTATTTTCCCTCTGTGTACAATTGCTGAGTGGAATTGCTTTGTAATTACAGCCTTACCACTTGATGATGAAGTCCAAGTAATTTCATATCCATCATGAGCCCCTGAAAAATCACTCTTGAAACGAAGGTAGACAATGCGATTTTTGGGGAAGATGGGACTGGGCACAGTGTTTCCACAGAACCTGCCAAGTAGTGGTGATTGCACATCACTCCCATTTCTGACCTTCAAGGGACACAAAAAGCATTGTCAACATTAAATCCCTATGCCAGATATACAGCAGTACAATTATGCAAGCACAGCACAAACTACGTAGTGACTTGTATGCATACTATAATTGTCATTTTAATACCATTATTTTCCCCACTATATATTCTTGTATAGAAGGAAAAAGAGACCATTAACCAAGCTGTCTGAGTTTTCTAAGTAATTGTGCAGAACAAGTATCATCAGAAACAGGCAGCTGAATTTTATGGTGTGGTACCTCTCCTGACTGAAAAAATTACTTGACTAGGAACTAAGATGTGCTTTTGCAATTCAAGCCCATGTTTTACTTTTCAGAACAAATGTTAATATTCCAGATGAAAAGATTAATTCTTTACCCTGCAGACCACTCTTTTCCCTGGTCACATTAAGGCACAGATCATATTACATAGCTCAGATTTAATCTGAGGGTTCTTTTGAGCTCCAATAATGCTTGTGCTCAGATCCATTTCTTGAGACAGTGAAGAGGATATGAAAGGAGAACTAAATAATGATCCTGCCACAGACATCTGCTTTTTGTCATCTGGGCAGTGAATAGGGAAACCTTCAACAAGCATGGAAGGACAGAGTGAGGATTGTGTAGGAGAATATGCTTTTTATTGACACAAAGTACCTTTGCAAGTATCCTACTCTTGTTATTAGAGCTCCTTTTTATAAGAAAAAATGCTTTGTTTAGAAAAAATATTTTTAAGAAAAAGATCAAGCAGATGGAATCTACTGCTGGAACAAAAGCACTCAGATCTATGGCTTTCTGTTCATGCACAGTTTGGATGAAAACTGCCCTGGCTTGTTCTGTTAACTGGGTAACATCAGCAAGAGCTATGTAAAGATGAGAGTTAGCTGATAATGAAACTATTCATCGGTTTTGGACTTACTATAGCGTGTATTGTTTAACCTCCTACTAAAACATCTGAGCACCCTTCACCATAAAATTGGAGCAATAAATTAGTCCCTGCTGTCAGTTCAGCTCAGACTTGTCCAAGCGTATTAATATCTTTTGAATTCAGCAGATTTTGACACAGCCCCACAAAATACGTATACTTGCTTGATACCTCTAGGAAATCACGTGAACACTGGATGCTGTCCTCCAAATGGAAAGCATGGAAAAAGAGAGAAATTGTGTGATTCGGGGGAGCTCGTAGAATGACAGAACAGTCCATATTATTGGGATGACGACCAGGCCAGCCGGGGCTTTTCAGGTAACCAAACGGCTGGTTATACTCTCTGTTGCAACCTTGAGACAGAAAACCAGAAACATGCGAGCATTTCAGATCTCTTGATTGCTTTTTACTGTATGGAATCAACAAAGGGAATGGTAGGTAGATTTTTGAGATATTTCATCAAGCTTACCTGTAGCTTGATAGGTAAATCTGACTCCATTATTAATCATATATTCATCTGATTTGAAAGTCACGATGGCAGTGCGATCATAAGAATAAAATTCAGGGACTGGAAAAGTTTCAGAGCCACAGAATCTATGGACTGATCCTTGGCTATGCTGCAATTCAATACATGTCACAAGTTACTTAATGATATAATTCAGTTTTCTACTTACTGAACTGGAGGTGAATAGATTTCTCAGCACTTTCTATACCAATTATCCATTTTAAAGTTCTCATGGAAATCACATAATAATGTCTCAACATTTTCTGTTCAATTATTACAAGAAACAAATCAAGTGTAACAGGTATTTTCATGCCAAAATAAGAAACAAGGAAAGAAGGTTTAGAATAATATAATACAAGGGACATAAACAGTTGGGTTTTTTTCCGGTGCTTTCTACAAACACTCTTCTTGGCATGAGTATTTATTTTTATTATGGTTCTTGGGTGGGAGGAAGTACAATGAGCTTATGAAAACTTGCTGTTGGGCAATATTTTCTGGGTGTTAAGTTTGGCAGCTCTGTTACTTGGTGCAACTGTGAAAAATTGTGTAATACTTACCAGGTGTAATTCAATGTGTATATAGTGTTATTCCATGAAGTCTGTATACCTGTTAACACGCCTCAAGCGGGGCACAGTGTGTAATGCTTTGGATGTGCTGCTCACACAGAATCATCAGTTAATCTGTTACCAAATGGGGGGGGTTCTCCTCTTTTTGCAAAGACTAAAGGGAGCTGAACGTGAATGGGGAATGCTATCAACTGCAAATTTCTTACTGTTGGTGACTCCTGGAGCTCTAGGTAGTTTTGAGAGCAGTCCTGGCCGGAATGGAGGTGAAAGGCCTCTACCATCACCCTGACTTGCTGCTGCGGAGGCGCATCAATGACCCAAGTGCAGAGAGTAAATGGTGGATATTCATTCGGGAAGTTAGGAGACGTTGTAGTCAGGGATGTAGAAGTTGCATTATATACTCCTCCACACAGTCCTGTGTAAAATGGTAACAAATGCATCATAGAGTGAAAACCTTTCCAACTGGGAAAAAATATTTATGGAGCAAAACTACGCTGGGCAACATACTTTTGTACTTAACTGTGGCTCTCTAGAAGGAAGAAAAATAAGTAAAACACATGCTAATGCTGTGTGTTGTAAAACTCAAATAAATGTTTGTTCCCTGTAATACCAGAGTATTTGTTAGCAGTGTATGATTGTGTTCCTGTTTTGCACTCCAGACTGACAGCCGCCCCGGAACCAGCCAAGACTGATGTGAATTGCACTGGGGTCTAGCAGTGCTGCTTTTAGCTTGCTTGTAGATGCTCCGTGTACTAAAAAATGTCTTCGCACCTTCCTGGGCCCTATATCTAGAATAAATTTTGATGATTTATTATTTAAATATGTATTTCCAAAAAGGGATCACAACAATCTATATGCTTATGTATATGTGCATACTTACGATCCACTGTGGTGTAGGTTGCATTGAAACCCTCCCTTTCCACAGAATTGTCTGTGATAAATTTCACAGTCAATGAGTTACGGGTAGAAAGAAAAGGAGCTGGCACCGTTGACCCACAGAATGTGCCAACTAAATTGGCATTTTCATTATCTCCATCATAAAGCTGAAAGAAGAAAAGCATATAAGCCACTAATAGTTTAGGCACAACAAACAAATAAATAGAAATAAAGTTCTCTGACCCCTCCTGACATTACACTTTCTCGTACTTGAAAGCACAGTAGGTGCTCTTGTGCTTTAACAGGATGTTCTTGATGACTATAATTATTCACTGCCATATCAGCTAATTCTGTTGGACAGTGTAAATCTCATTATTGAACATTCTGGTCCCATCTCAGCAAATCTATACAAAATTATTCTATTTTAATTTGGCGTTCCATTTTCATTTTTATATGTAATCTCAAAGTGCTTTTCAATGAGAAAGGTTGATTTTATTCACCAAAATGTAGAATTCATTCCTAGTTTCATTGAGCATCTCTAATGCTCAACAGGATATATAACACTCATTGGTGGATCTTGTTTAGCAGCATTCTGCTATTGTATGTTTGGTATGCTCATCTCCAAGAAAATAGATTTCACAGGTAAGCATTTAGCATCAAGACTTACTTATTCAAAATTTTATAAATGAAAGTTTTTCCAAGCAATTTTGTATGATAATGAATCTGCATGTTTACTTTCAAAGTGCTTGGATTTTGTTTTGTTTTTATTCTGTGAAATAAATACTTATTTATATAGGCAGTCCTAAGAACAGAAGTGCATCCCCATAACAATGTTAAAACTCTTAGTGGTTTCCAAAAAGGCAGGATGTCGTCTGGAGTAGTAATTTAAACCGCTGAAAAAAATATGTAATTATATTAAGCAATTTAATGTCTTCATAAGACCATTTTCTATTAATTAAGTTTTAGTCTCTTGGAGAGGATAATGGATTGTATATCTCACTGATTTTTTTTTTGTTAAAATACACAGCTATCTTACTTTGACATAATCATATCGGCAAGTCTGAGCAGACTGTGCTTCAAGCACAAATGAAGTAAAGGTGAGGTTGATCAGTTTGTTTACAGGTGCAGTTATGATCCATACACAGTCCAGATTTTTCTCATATCTTCTGGTCACATTGGAGACTGGAGAGCCAAAGCTATAAGCTGAATTTGTCAAGTAACCACCGCAGCCATTCTGAGGTCCTGTTGAAGAAGTGGAAGTTTTTTAAAAGGCATTCATGGCCTTCATTTAATCTTCAACTCTGTAATGTCAAGCCAGCAGCTTTTTTCTGTGCTGCAGAATTTTAGTGTCCTGTCTCACAAGGACTAGCTGAACACTTAAAATGCTTTCAACGCAACCAGCATTAGATAGAGATGAATCACAATTAGGTTCATGTCTTCTTGATGTAAAATCAGTATCCACTTTGAAAATGTGGCAACAGATTTTTTTTAAAAGGGACTGTAAGAAGACAGAGGACAGAAATTAATAGAAGATTAGTGGTTAGAGGGCTTTTTAATGTAATTCTTACCTGCTAGTAAAAGTACTTGGACAGTAGGGGGCACTGGATTGATGACTTTGAAAATCTAGTTAAAAATTAAGTTACTTATTTTGGCAATATGACCTCGTTCTGGGGGGACTGAATCTGGCAGCCTGACTGACACTGGGACCCAGATTCATATGCAGGAATCTAGCTAAAAGAGACTTACTTCTGAAAGGGGTTTGCATGGTGGGAACTTACAACTCCTCTGAAAAGCAGGCTGCTTTTCATTTGGATCCCACATACAGAGCTAACTCGCTGTGAATTTTGAACCCTATAATGATTTCAGTCACATTGAAAGAAATTACTTTTGGAGAAAAGCAGTTATTAGAGGATCAGAACCCTTTTACTGCATCTCATTACAAACAAGCAAAAATACAGACCATCTGAAGGGATAATTTTTTTTACTTCTCGTTTATTTCCAGAGGTTGGGCTGGGCTAGTCAATCTGATCAATTTGTTTACTTTATGCTTCCTTCCCCAGTCTTTATGGGATTTCCTGGCCACTTATTTAACTCAGGAATACAAATAAAGTGTGGTTCATGCTCTTGCTTTTGAGTCTGAGAAAGTTTTTGTAAACTGCACGGAGCAAAGCAGTAACTGCAAGCAGCCGTTTGTCTCCCACAGTGAATCTTCTTAGGAGAATTAGATAATAAAAGAAGCTACAGCTGTGGCTAAGCAACATCATGAGCAGAGTTTCAGAATTTCACCTGCATGTATAAAATATTCCTGCCTGGCTGAAATACAGTGACTTAACCTTGACACACTGATATATTTCCAGTCATATAAAACTGCACCCTACTTGAGTTACAGTATTACAAAAGATCACTCTGGTGAAAAATCAGCATCCAAGTATCAGGATTGTGTCAGTAACCCGGGGTTGGAGACAGCCCCGTCTTGCAAGACTGTAATGGTTAAACCAGAGTGACTAAGGCTAAATGACGTCCTGGTCTTCTAACCAAAGCCAGAAAAACCCCACCCTAAAAAAGAAGTTTGCTTAAAACCAAAATCTTAATAACAAGAGATTTAAGCCTTTGCTATAACTAGAAATGAACAGAGGAAACTTATTACAAAGTGAGAAAGTCAGGACTTAATAGACTCTAGTCCAGTTTTGTGGGCTGTTAATGAAGTCAGAAACTTGGAAAAGTGTTAGCATTCATTCCAATGCCACTGCAGAAGCTGAGAACAACAGTGGGGGAAATGCAAGTAATAAATCACATTCTTACAAATAGTCTAGGAAGGAGGAAAGTGTCTGACAGGAGGGTGCCTGGGCCCTAAGAGTGCAGTTTTGCTATACTCTTCTCTGGGTTCACCCTTCTGCATGATTTATTCAGTGCCCCTGAAACAATCTCGTTGGAGCTGTTTCCTGCTCAGCATTTTGGACACTGTCTGCTAAACATAACATTAACCATGTAATCACTAGGCATAGATCATAGTCCTACCATTCAGCCCTGCAATATTGAGTCCGTAGTGATATATGGGTCAGACAGCTCACAAAGGTCCCCTTCACTCTTTTCAGGGTTAAAGTTGCAGAGATGTCTGTCAAACCATTGTAACAGGAATCAGGGAATTGCCAAAGCCACGCAACAGGAAAGCTCTCAGTGCTGTTGGAGTATCCATTTTTTGGATATCAGATGTCTGGACCTTTGCAATTGTGCACTTCATTGCTAGCTGCACAGCTATAAAGACAGCTCAGATGACAAAAAATACAGATGTGGGTAAGCTATGTGTGTACAGCACATAAAATGGACCTGACAAAGAGAGAAACAGGCCAAATCCTCATTATCAGAAAATTAAATCTAGCCAGTGTAGCCAGAAATAGCATCAAAGGGGAGATAAATAACTAAAAGTATGATATACAGTTACTAAAGATGAGGTTTCATCATTAGCTTTCACAATGCTTAGCCAGCTCAGCAGAGATTGAGTCAAATGCTTACAGGACAGTATGTTATAAATAACGACTAGACTGGAAGCCAACCAGGTATTGAGTAGCGCTGCATCAAGCCAAAGAGCAGCCCTTGTTGAAAAATCTATCCATCTTGGTGTTTTTCAGTACTGATCAATGTTACATCTGATTGCAGTCACGAAAGTTACAGAATAGTGAAGCTGTGTAGATCTAAGGAACACTCACAAGTAAAAGAAGAACCAACTGTCTGACGGGAGGGAACTCACACTAAGAGAAACACTGTCATGCTGCATTTTAGCCAGGACATAACTCATCGTTTTAAAAATCAGCACCACTTCTGAATAGAAGGCCAAATAGTAGCCATCCAGCCTGCTGGTGATCAGTGATGGAATGATACTCTTTGCTGGCTAACACAGCCAGAAAAAATTGTAGCTAAAATCTGGGACTGAGAAGTCTGTTAATTTGTAGAACAGACTTTTAGATATTAAACGCTAAACTTGATAAAAATAATGAGAAATGTACCTTATAAAACAATTTGAGTGGGGGCAGATGGACTGACTACATGGCTGTGTTGTTTCACTCTCTGGTTTCTTATTTAAAATAAAAATCATAAGGTCATCATAAATCAGATTGCAATCTTGTCCTCCTCATAAACAGCTTGCCAGAGAACACAAATTATGAGAATAACTAGGGCACACACTGTCATCACTAATTGCTTTTGTTGGGAACCATTAACAAAACTAAAAGGCTGGAGGACCATTCAGAAAAGAAGGAATTGAACGTTCTCTATGGCAAATAAAAATAATTACAGCAGAGGGCAAACACATGTTTCTCTGTTAAGAGTTACATCCTCTAGATATGGAACGAAGATAAAGATGAATCTTTGAAGCCGCCTGCCTTTGAAGCACAGCCAGGGATGAGGTTCTTTTATGCAGGTATGGATGCAATGAAAGGGAGCCTTCTGAATAGTTTCAAATCTATCAGAAACAACTAACCCAGTGACATTTCAAAACACAACAAAATAATTTTGCTGCACTTTGCTTCTTACTAAATGAGCACCACCAATGTCTACCAAAAGGCAGCAAAGTTCAAAGAAGTGTTCTAGTTCTGCCTGAACAGTAATGAAAATCCTCTCCCAGATTTCTGAGTCACATTTGGTCTCACCTAGACGCATCCCTGGGAAGTCTAGGCTTCTCTCTGCTCTGAACTAAAAATCAGAATAAGCAGAGATTAGCTCTGCCAAGACTAATGCTTCTTTCCCAACTGGTCTTATTTCCAATGCAGAGGAATGGCTGGACTAATTGTGGCTGTAATAATTAGCTCACAGGTTCTTTGGATCATGGCTCAGAACAATATCAGGCTGATATCTCATGGCTGATACTGAAGGTTGGTAAACCTTTGCAGGCTGAGCTGAGCTGTTCCTGTGTTTGGCAACCACTGTACAGACATTGTGACTTCATGTGGCAGCAGGACCTGGGCAGCAGTGCCAACCACAACCGCAGTGCCTGCAGCATTTCAGGAGGAGACTTCTGAAACCACGGGACTCTTTTTAGTCCTCAGCCTAGCCTTTACACAGAAAGGGGTTTTGATTAGTTTGATGGCCTGGCAACAGTTCCAGCAGTGACATTTAGGACTGCAATGGCCCAGTCTCCTGCTTTAGCAGGATTTCACAAATGCAGTCAGATGAAGTTCCTATTCTTAAGTTTTTAGACTATTGGCTGATCCCAAATATACAGTCCAGACATGCTCTGTGCCAAGCCTGCCCTACTTCTGCAAAACTGTAATGTATGTACCATCCTGTCCATCTCCTCGATGCTTGTCTGGGAGACCAGAGGCAGACATGTAGTCTGGCCTCTTTCTAATACTGCGTTAGCATACCCGTTGGTACCACAGCTGCTCAGGCCTTTGCAGATCTCTCTTGTGATGTGAATCAGAAGTGCCTCCTCACCCTTTGTTTGCGTGCACTGGAGTACAGCTTTTCAGCTGAAGAAGTCATTGACTTCAGGCAAGCTAAGACAATCCATGCCAGCAGAGAGTTCACACACAGCCATGTGAAGCACCTTAATCTGAATATCCTATCAGCTTTTAACCATTTAGTCACCTACAAAGTTATAGTTAATCACTGGGTCTGAAAATAATTTTTTATCTCATTTTTTCAGATCAGCCAGAAATGTCTTATTTAAATGTCTACCTCTCTTCTTGTCTGTCCAGACTGAGTAGGCAAACCACTTCTATTTATTTTGCTTTGGAAGAAGAAATGTCACAGACATTAAATAACTGACATTTCTGAGAGGCATTTGCAGACTATCCCTTAGCTCAACAGTTGTATTCTTTTCAGAGATATTGAAGAGATGTATTTCAACACTGCAAGTGCTTTCTAAATTTAGTTAGATTTCAAGCTGATGCATATTTTTATATTTGAGCCTCAAAATACATTTAGAAACAGTCCAAGAACTGCGACTTATGAACATATATTCTGAGCTTGTTATGGTTGTTCTTATTTTCATTGACTATAATAAGATCAAGAAAAGATATTATTAGCCACAATTTATTCATTAATTTAATAGATTACGCTAATCATAGTTAAGCCATGACAATGTAATGAATCTGAAATGTGTAATATTAATGTGTTATATATCTAGTAAAAAACTGTGTGAACCAAAAGCCCAAAGAAATTTTTGCAAGAAGACTTGTTTCAGGCAATTTGCTTCTCAGCGAGACCCTCTGCAGCACCAGGTTCTAAGTTCAGGTTGGATATCT